CTTTTTAGTTTTAAATTTTATGCTAATTTATGTAATTGTGTGAATCAAATCGGATTATAGTACTACGATAGTTGAGCCCCAATCACGAATCTGACCAAGGCCAATTCAATACACGGTTTGATTAATCAAAATTAAAAACATTGACCCAAGTCTCCATCTTCCTCAAACTCTCTGTCTGATACTTGTTTTTTCTTGTCATTATCTCGATGGAGGTTTCTCAAAATTGTTAGATAATTGAAACCACAATCAAATCAACAAATTTCAAAAAATTTGCATGGTAATGGGGCATCCGAATGTCTGATTCATAAATTGGTATCTATGTTTTTTGGGGGGGTTTTAATTGGTATCTAAGTTTAAGAGAAACAAAAACTATATATATATTTAAATTGTTTTTAACATTTTGTAGTTATTATTGTTTGATTTGATTGGAGAACAAATAATATTTTGTTCAGTTATATTTGGTCAGTATCTCCTATAGAAATGGAAAAGAGATATACACCAAGTTATAATCATATTTAGAAACATAAGATGAGATAATAGACAAACATCTGACCACGTTAGAATCACGGAGACATATCTTTATTGTATAGTATTATATAGTATTTCTTACTATATAAAGAAGTATTGTGTGAAGTCACAAATCTAATAGAAAACACAAAATACCCAGCGATTCTCCATCTCATTCTTTCATTTAAAGTCTAATTTAGTAAACATTCTAACAAATCTACCACCATGAACTTAGTAAGATTCAGAAGATAAACTTGGTGGATTGTTTTTTGGAGTTAAGACAAGTATTTCTCTGATTCTCAGTCTCTATAGTCCAATTTTGTTTACTGTTAATTCTCAGGCTTTACAATCTTCATTTTTTGGGTTAAAACGTGAAAATCACGATAGCCTTCCACTACGTTATCAATGATGGGCCTTAAATCACAGTAAGCCCAATAAATAGTAATAAGGCTTATAAAATTATCACCTTAACAAAATTGTACATATAGTAGTGAGTCGTTAAATTTTGGCTTGCATTCGGTTAGCTTCGTTTGGTAAGCTCAACTCGACCCAATAACATTTTAATCGAGATTCGGCCCATGAGAACTTGTGAGTTGTTGAAACAAACCCAAGGTGTGTGTTATCGTGCAAGAACTGAAAAATAAAAGATGATTTTGTTTGGAATAAACGATTTTCACTTTTAGAAAAAATCAAGATATTTCCTTATAGAGATTGTACAAGTTGATCCTTTTTTTTATTAGTCAATTTCTTTCACGATGCTTTAATACCATTTTGGTATGTACTAGTTGGAAATCGGGTTTGATGCATTGGTCGAATAAACCAATAAAAACAATTTATTTATAGAAAGCTTCTCGAAATTCAATTCGAGGCAAAGTTTTCACCACCACTGGCTCCTCTCATCCTAGCTAGCTTTCTATATCACTATACCTCGAGTCCTATCTTATTAATTCAAGCCATTAATAAAATTGTTACTTTATCAAAAAAAAAAAAAGTAGCTTATTCGAAAAAGAAATTATACGTATGTTAAGTATTTTGAAGTAAAAAAAAAATGTAAATACGTAAAAAGGTTATTCACGTGAGTCACGTTGGAGAGAGAGATCAGCTTCCGTGATCTTAATGAAAAAGTGGAGCCCACAAGAGTTTCAACTGTCTAGATTCACCGACAGTACGAGGATGATTTTATCGACACCGTCCGATGTTTCCAAGCTGTCATCGTATTTGAAAAACAAAAGAATAAATACATTTTCTAATTTGAGATGATTGTGCCGACACGCTTTTGGTGTTACGTGTCTCTAAATAGTTTAAATTTTGTATTGTAGTTCTAATTATGCCAGTGAAAAGTTTTTTACAAGCCACCCACGTTTATCATGTACAGAATCTAGAAGCTCATTAAACCCAGATTAATTTAATTCAGTTACATATGTTACCTACTCAAACTCTGGCTATAGATGATATATATAGGGTTGAACAAGATGTGGACAAGAACTTAACTAATTAAAAAAGTTGTGTTACTAATATATGTTTTTATTTTTTTTGGTGAATGTGTTACTAGTATTCGTTACGTATGTTACTCGTGTTATAATTTTATTTGATATAAGTTTGATGAGAAAATAGTCATTTAAATCCTAGGTTGCACTGAAACGGAGACAAGAAACGGAGACGGGCACCAGAACGAAAAACGGCAATACTAAAAATTTATGGATATGGGTACGGTAGAAATACGTCA